AAAACAACCCCACATCCTTATTTATCTCACAATTGTTATTTCCTACAAAAAAGTGTATTACAAAAATTAGAAAATACATTTGAACAACAATACAATTTCACAAGAGATTCAAAAATCAGAAATGATAGATCAATAAATGTTCCATATGCACATTTTCTATATCATTTACATAACCGAACAGGAAAAGTTCAACCTGAAGCAGATTGGCTTTATTTTGATAAGTTAACAGAAAAAAGATTAAAAAATATGATGATATTTAAAAATATTGATTATTTAGAACCTTATTGTATTTGTCTCAATGATGCATTTAGCAAAGGAAAAAATCTTGTTGACAAAGAAATAGAATTTGCAATACAACAATTAGAAAATAGATATCCAGTGCGCTCACCATTTGAAAAAAGAAGATAATTGAATAGTACTAATTAATTTAATTATTTAAAAAGATAAATTTCATTGAATGGAAAATAAATTTAAAGTGGATGAAAATTTATAAATGTTGTTGGGAAAGTTACTTGATATCCTTTTATAGATTGATCACCAGCAATTAATGGAAGAATTTTATTTTCATAATAAATATATGGAACATTATTTTTAATTAAGAATAACTCTGCTTTTTCTTTGAATATTGAAACAGTTAAATTATTTCCATTACGTGAAACATAATATTTTTTATCTATTGTTTCGTTATGTTCAATACAACAAATAATTTCTTTTCCATATCCACCTTGACGAACACATATATTTGATTGTGCACTAATTGGTGATAAAAATAATGAGGTAACTAACCTACTTCCAATCATTGAAGAAACAAAAAAATAAAATGTACATCCTTCAACTTTGATTGTAGGAATAGTAATATCCCAATTGACATGAAGAACCTGATCTCCCATTAACACGCCCTCTCTAAATACACAAACATATTCTTCATCAGATCTTTTAATTTTAAGTATTTTATTTTCAAAAGAATATTCGAAAATATCACCCACTTCTTGTGGACATGGAACTAAAGGTCCGTGTTTACATCTGTAATAATATTCACCATCTCCTTTTAATTTAAACCCATTTTCAGGTTCGACTACACGTTCTAATTCAAATATTGATGGTCTACAATTTTTATCTTTTGTAATACGAATAACCCCTTCTTCTATTCGTGCAGCAGCATACAATTTATCTGGTTGTTCAATACTAATGATAAAATAACTCATTTTATCTCAAAAAAATTTTAATTCTTTTTTTAATTTTTTGTTTTTTTATTATTCTTCCTAATTAAAAGAGAAATCTTTATTATCTTCAAGAAGAAATAAATTAAATAAGCAATAATGAACTTATATTCCTGATAACTATTATATATTCTCTCTGTTACTAAATTGGATTTAACATTAAAACAATGCCAATGTTCTTCTTTTGAATAAGATCAGTCAAAGTAAAAATATAACAACAAACGATTGATAAAGTGTAATATTAAAATGGTCAAGAATAATAAATATTCATTTATTAAGAAAGTACTTGTATTTAATAAAAAGATTATTAATTAATAAAGGTAAATAAAAATTAATACTATTGAAACTAATTTAAAAACGAAAGTTTAAAGAAAAACACATAAAAGAATAATCAATAATCATACAGTTACAATTTATAATCAAATGTATCTCCTTCACTTCCTTCACTTAACTGATTTTCGTCAGAACAATTTGGTGATGAAAAGTCTGCATGAAAGTGTTCAAAATCAACAGAATCAAATGGTATTGGAACACCACTTGGAGGAGGGCATGCTCCTTGTAAAAATGACTTTTGTTGATTAGGGACAAATTGATCAATTTTTAATGAAAATGAAGAAGGAGTTAATACAGAAGAACTAGCACTCATATTTTCAATATGTAAAAGTTGTTGTGGGATCGGTTGTGCAACAGGAATTTCGTTCATCATATTAATTTTTTGATTTATAAGATCATTCTCAATATCTAAAAATAATGTTTTTATTCTTTTTAATGTTATATATCACAACATTTTAATAAAATGATAAATGAACATTTTTTCAACCCTTGAAATAAATTGAGGATTTTTCATGGTTGATAGAAAAAGTTTTTGACAGAAGAAAAAAATTGATAAGGAAATGACGTGGAATATTAGAGGGCAAACACAACCCTTTAGTTATTTTATTATATTTAAATTAAAAGAATTTTGAACTTTTTAACTATCATTCACAATGGAACAATTGATTCAAGTAATTGGAGCCACTCAAAACCCAGCACTCAGACAACAAGCTGAGGCACAACTAACATCATTTCAAAACACCGATTTCTCTCAATATATCGTATCATTAATTCAAATATTATCTACAGCAACTCTCCCAACTAATATCCGACAATCAGCTGGTATTTTATTCAAAAATTTATTCCCAATCAAAGGTTCTCATAAAACACAATCTTTAAAAATGTGGAACGAAATTAGTAATGACACAAAAATGGTAATAAGAAAGACTGTATGTGCTTTACTCTCAGAACAAGATAATAATATTATTCTTATTGGTGGAAATATTATTTCTAATTTAGCAAATCTTGATTTACCTCAAGGACAATGGCCTGAGTTAATGCCATTTTTATTAACTGATAGTAATGTTGCCAAGTTAAAAACAATTGGTTTTATTACTGAAGATATTCCATTCATTCCATTTGCCCCTTTTATTGAACAAGTAGAAAATCTTTGTATTTCATCATTAACTAAAAGTTTTGACTATTGTATATCAGCATTAACTATTTTTGAAAATATGATCTCTTTTGAAAAAGTTATGTCTAACCCAACAGAACGTAAAAAGATTCTCGAAGTTCTCCTTACTGCAGTAAAACATAACCATCCTGCAATTAAGACAAAAGGATTCCAAGCAATTTCCACTTTTACTGAATTATATATTGAATATTTCTCAGAAATATGTAAGACTATTATGGAAGTTACTTCTGAAATTTTAAAGCAACCAATGAATGTTGAAATAGAAGATTTACAAAAAACTGTTCTTCATCTTTGGAGAACTGTTGCTTCTAATGAACGTAGATATAATGATCACTATCCAAATAATCCTCCATTAAAGATAGTTGTTAGTGTTATTGATGAATTAAAGAATCTTATCATTCATATAATTTCATTTGTTGATGACCCAAATGATGATATTGATGAGAATGATTTATCATTTATTGCTCAAGACACACTCTATGATTTAAGTGTAAGTGTTGGGTCTGGATTACTTATTTCATTGTCTCCTCAAATTCTTTCATTATACACTAACCCAGATTGGAAAATTAGATTCCAAGCTCTTAGTACCTTTGCTTGTTTGGTTGTTCCAAATGATGACCCAATCACTCTTTTACGTCAACACGTTAATCAAATTGTTAACTTATTTAATGACCCTGTTCCATTAAATAGAACCACTGTGATTTATTGTATTATTAAATGTATTAAACATTATCCAAAGATGTTTGATGATTTCCTTAAAATTCATGCTTCTAATATATTTTCTATGTTCAAAGATTGTCCTATAGTAAAGAAAGCTGTTAGTTCATTCTTTTCAACGATTTGTGATCCTCAAACTGGTGTTAACTGTAACTTGTTTTTAAATGGAGATGCTGTTACTTCTATTATCAGAACATTCCTTGATGAATCTATGAGAAATACATCTATTTCTGAATGTACCTCTTATTTAACTGCTTCAGGAAATGTTGTAAGGGGTTGTTGTTCTGGTGAAATGGCAATTACAATTATTCGTTTTATTTTAAGTGATTGTATGTCAACACAATTATTTAATTCATCAGATCTTTTAGGTTATTCTATCTTATTCTTAGATAGTTGTGTAAGTGCAACAAAGAATGGAACATCAGGAAATGAAGTAATTTCAACATTGCTTTCAAATAAGCCAATTTGTGATTCATTATTTGGTATTGCAATTAAAGCATTTCCAATGACACCAGAACCATCATTGATGTTAATAGGGTCAATGTGTTATTCACTTGAAGCAAGTTTTGCACCATATTGTCTTCCATTAATTCCAAAAACGGTAGAATGGTTAAATAGTGAATTACCACCAAACATATACAAATTGTTATGTGAACTTGTAGGTGATATTAGTATAACAATACAAAAAGAGTTTGAACAATATGCAAGTAACTATTTAGAATTAATTCTTAGAATATTTAAAAAGCCATATTTAACATTTGGGGATAAAACAGGTATTATTCAAGTAATTGGAGATATCATAGCAACATGTCCTAAAGAAAGTCAAATAGGGGTTCCAACAGTTGTAGAAATATTAAGTGGAGTTAATACAGTACAAAGTGAAGAAGATGAAGAAATAATTAGAGCAGTGAGTGAACTTAGAACAGCAGCATTT